CAAAGTATCATATCGAAGTTAGAAATTCAAATAGTGTGACAAAATTAATTTTGTAGGGTGCCACAAATTTGTTAAAATTTCCAAAGGGTGCTGTGACTAAAGAAAGGTTGGGAAACACTGATCTAATCAATGTATGTATCACTGGTGTGGTACACTATATATTGCACACACACACTAGTTTTTTTATTAGCATCTTAAATATTTATATTTTGTTTACTCTATTTCTTAGTATTCAGTTTATTCTCTTACCAGCAATACAAACAGAAACTTTTATCATATCATCTTATCGCATGTGGTTTCATAGAGCTTGTTTTAGTGCATCTTATTTGCATTCAGCATCCTGTAAGATGAGACCTGAAGCCTAATTTATAAAATGTTGCATAGAAATCAGGCGTGTAGTCAAGACCAGACTTCCAAAACCAAGACCGTTAATGCGATGGTTAAGTGATCAATTGAGTGATTAGTGACAAACACCTGCTGTTAACAAGAAGAATCACTGAAAGAGGAACAAGAAGAATCACTGAAAGAGTGATTAAGTGAGTGATTAAATCTCTCAAGATCTCAGCAGACGATAATTAACAACTTCACAAACAGCATTATCAGCTTCACGAATTACTAACCAGATTGACATTATTTTTTATTTCATTTCATATGTCTACAAAATGAAAGTGTTTCATTTGAAGTCACCATTAGGGTGATTAGTGCTTTAGTAATTAGTAGTTGGCCTTTGACTTTTCAACCTTAGTTTTTCTTTAACTGCGGTGACTTTGGGTTTATAAAGCACATTAGTTATGGAAAGAAACACCAAGAGAAAATATGATCAGGTGATGATGGCTGTGTATTCATCATTATAATCATGTAATCTGACTCTGTAAACTAATCCAGTGTTTAATATCGGACTGTTTAGATGATCTTTTATTAATTTAACATGATGATCTAAATGAATTTAGAAACACCTTGTGTTTAGAAAGTTTTGAGCTACTGAATCATTTAGACACACAGACATCAAGAATTAGCTTAAGAATCTAAACAGTGGTGACAATCAACAAAAAGCTTTGTGCTGCAATGCATGCTTGGTGCTACCATAGTACAAAACTCATCCATGACTCCCAGCATGCATTGCAGCATGAATAAATTACGCAGCTGAATAGTCTTATTTGCTTTTATATTTTAGTTGTTTTGTCATGTTCAGAGCTGATCTGTTTAACAGCCGAGGAAACTAATATTATAAACCAAGGGTCAAGAGCACAACTAAGGACAATAATTGCCATAATGGTGACTTCAAACTAAACTAAATTATTTTCAATAAAAACATCAACTTCTAAACCCATTTAATGTTAATTCTTAGTGAGAATGTATGACAGAAATAAAGTCAAGCTGGTTAGAAATTAGTGAAGCTGGTAATGTTGTTTGTAGAGTTCAGTTGGTTTCATATAAAGCAGTGGCATACAGACACTTCATATTTAACAGTATTGGATGATTTTTAGTCACACCTAATAGATAACACTTCTAATAAAACACTTGCAATTGGTTTGTGAAAGGCATTTTTATGCATGTTTTTGCTGAGTTTTTATTGTAGTTACAACATTTCAAACAGCAGGTGTCACCAGAACATGCCATTTCAAAACAGTGACTCATTTCGCAAAACAATTGCTTTTAAGTTTTGAAAAGCTTTTGTTTTCCCATCACTAATCTCAACAATGGTGACAATCAATTAAAAGCTTCATGCTGCGGTGCTTGCTGGGTGCCATCATAGTACAAAACTAATGCATTCCAACAGTGTTTCTTTAACACTCTGTAGTGTGGACACACATGAACACTGACAAGTACTTTTAACAGGAGGATTTTTCTGTGTGGCTCTTCAATGGTCTTGACCACACTTCTGTGTAAAAGACAGTCACGCTGGTCTATTCTTTGAATGCTCTGGGCGAGACGTATGAGGAGACCTGCTACACAAGCCAGCAGCATCAACCTGCAGCTTTCTCCTGCACACCCACTGAAGCTAAGCAGGGTTGAGTCTGGTCAGTACTTGGATGGGAGACTTTCGGGGAAGACCAGGTTGCTGCTGGAAATGATGTTAGTGAGGCCAGCAGGTGGAGCTCATCTTGTGCTCTGAGTGGGTCCTAATGCCCCAGTATGGTGTTAATAAACTGTAGAAAGATAGTAAGATAGGGGTGTAACCCTGGTGTAAAATAGTCCCTACATCACATTGCCTAACTTCCCCAACTCTACATCTCGCACATTATCTCTGTCTGTTTGTTGCAGTAAACAGAAATTGGACAAATCACCTAAATTTTTGATGCAACACACTCAACTCTCTGCTGGGGATTTTGATTCATCTCAGTGATTCGAATCTTTATCAGATCCTTTTACCAGAAAGATTTGTGACCAATTCATCGACGGTCAGGAGATGTTCCAGTTCATTCACAAGACGACTCGTTCAGTGCCGCTGCGAGTCTCGTTCAGACTCAAAGATGTCTTTCTTTATGACTGAGTCGATGAATCATTCACTCAAATGATTCGCGCTGTTTGTTTTGAACTATGCCAGCTTGCCAAGCAAAAACAAAGAAACTTATGTCAGTATTGAGCCTAAAATTTAATTACTTTGAAACTTATTGTATAAAAGCAATGCCACATTTGCAATCATGCCTGATATTAAGAAGAAACAGTGCTCTTGCTCGTGTGATGTTGCTTTATATCAGTAAAGGATTATATTAACATGTGAACTTGTGAAATGTTAACTAATTATCAGTGAAACAGAACATTAAACCACAATAAACATGTTGACATTCTCCTGAACTTCGGCACCTTGATATCAATTTGTCGTCAAATATTAGTCAAGACTTGGTCAAGATGCTGTAACATCACTTTAAATTCAATTTGGACGGCAATTTCTTCTAGTGGTAATTGGGTGAAAATAGGAAGTTAATCCAACACTGAAACTGGTTTAATGTAGGCCAATATGTTGGACATTCAGTTTACATTAAATCAACATCATGTCAAGTTTTTTTGCATATTTGACCTGCTTTTCGAAGTCAATTTTGATGTCAATTTGATGTCAACATCATCTGCCCAACACACAATTCTTCACATCTGCAGCTGCAATCTTCACTGTGAAAATCACAATCAGTTCATCATTTTACTGTAACTCCACATCACTGCTGTCATTCATATAACATAAATATCCTGAATGAAGATTACAATTATTCTCCATTAGAAGAATTAATATTTACTATTCAGAAATGTTCTCTGTAAAAAAAAATACAATAAAAAAGTTATTTTAATGATCGAAGACTGTAAAATGCTACGGTGAAAACCTGTTAATCAGTTCACTGTAAGTTCTTTTACTATATACAGTGAAAAACTATAATAAATCTAACTGGACATTTCATGTAATTTTACAGTAAAATACTGTTAAATATTTGGAAGTGAAAAAGAAGAGGTCTGTCAAACACTGCTGTCATTTTTACTGTACATTTTACATATTTATTTTTTTACAGTGATCAAGTATAAGATCATGCATACTGTATTCATAAATATATCACTTTGAAGCAGACATAATGTACTGCAAAAATGTATGCTACTTTGTTACTTTATGAAATAAGTAAAATGTTTAAACTGATTTTATGACTTTATAAAACATCTCTGATAATTTTATTGCGATATTTTTATAACTGGTCGTTTCAATATATTATTATTTTGAAAATAGTCATCATTCAGGACATTTTCTCATAAACATAATTATAAATAAACGTAATGGTTTAAATAATTTATTTTAACTTAATTTCTTTTTGACTCATGATGACAACAATAAAATTTTGTCTACATTATCCAGCTTTTGTGCCATGCACCAATTGAAATATATTAAGATATTATTGAAAAATCATAAAAATCGCCATTAATTAAAATAAATTGAAATGTTAGCATACATCAGGTGTGAAATTACAAATGTAAAACAGTAAGCACATATATGAACTATGGCTTGAAATGTAAAAAATATGGAATATAAACCAAATGACTTACACATAATATAGCAAACAAAATTTGATAATTACATACATCAACTGGTGCAATCAATCAGTAGAATAGAATTACATTTTATAGTAAATAAGATGTGAAATATAAGTAAGCCTTCTTAGTAACATTTTTTTGTAATAAATTAAGAATATTGTTGCCAAATATTCTTAAATAACCTTAAACCTCTATTTAAAACACACACACACACATTATGCATTTTTATTAGATAATTTAAGAAAGACTTACTTCTGATCACCAGTTTAGTTCCTCCACCAAAAGTGTACCACAGTGCTTCATTCTAGTGAAAGCGTGGTACAAAAACCTCCGTCACACTCAGATGAACACAAACTCACTCACACACACTGATATGAGACTCAACAGCAGCGGTGGATTATTGGACTAAAGTGATGAAAATCTCTGTATTGATACGTTTTCTTTACACATCTTAATTTGGATTTCTAAAAGATCATATATATTTCTCAAAGCAATTTTTATTAGTTTTGATGACCTTTGCCCTCTCATTGAGTTCACAGTGACATACTTGTTTCTCTGAATGGTTCAGCTCTGTCACTGAATCATGAGAAAACCTGCAGTCTGAACCATGAGACTCACACAGAATGAAAAAGACATGATTTCCAGATTTCTAAAGAAATGAAAACACACACCACTGTATCATGAGACTGAAACACGTTTAAAGGCTCAGTTTTCATCTGCATGTGGGCATTTTCATGTCTGTTTTCCTCCAGGAGGGTTTTTCCACAGAGAGTCACTTTGCATCAGCACATGCTTCAGCGCTCCGAGTGTTTATAGCGTTCAGACTCCAACACTTTATAACACACTGCTGTTTACCACGGTACAAAACCAACAAACACTATGAATCTCTTCAGCAGCTTCATCTGGATTCTGGCAGCTTTTATTCCAGGTAACAGAAGTGAAAGATGCTCATTTTTGACTCTTTAATGTTGGACACACTGATCAATGATGCAGTCGAACACAAATGTAAGGCGTTCAGAAGCTTTATTGAATGAACAGCAATGGCAGCACATTGAAAGACTGCTTGAGTATTGAGCTGTAAATCAGGTGACTGCTGTGAATCCTGCTGCTCTTCACTGGAGAAACATCAGCACTCGGAGCTCTTGAGGAACGAGGTCTCGTGATCAGCTCCGTCATGTGTTACTCTGCAGACGAAGCGCTCGCCGTCTTCCCAGCGTGCTTTGCTGAGGCTCAGGACGCTGCTGCGGCTGTAGCGTCCGTCCCGCTCGCTCTCTGCGCTGGTCTGAACCCCCTCGGTGACCTCTGACCCGTCCAGCGTCCAGCTCACCTGCGCCCCCTGTGGAGAGTAAGAGCTGAGCAGGCAGAGCAGTGCGGCTGAGTCTCCAGAGATCTGCAGAGAAGAGGGAGGCAGCAGAGACACGGAGGGCTTCACTGCGGGACCAGCTGAAACACACACACACACACACACACACACAACACTCAATTCTTCACATCTGCAGCTGCAATCTTCACTGTGAAAATCACAATCAGTTCATCATTTTACTGTAACTCCACATCACTGCTGTCATTCATATAACACAAATATCCTGAATGAAGATTACAATTATTCTCCATTAGAATAATTAATATTTACTATTCAGAAATGTTCTCTGTAAAAAAAATACAATAAAAAAGTTATTTTAATGATAGAAGACTGTAAAAATGCTACAGTGAAAACCTGTTAATCAGTTCACTGTAAGTTCTTTTACTATATACAGTGAAAAACTATAATAAATCTAACTGGACATTTCATGTAATTTTACAGTAAAATACTGTTAAATATTTGGAAGTGAAAAAGAAGAGGTCTGTCAAACACTGCTGTCATTTTTACTGTACATTTTACATATTTATTTTTTTACAGTGATCAAGTATAAGATCATGCATACTGTATTCATAAATATATCACTTTGAAGCAGACATAATGTACTGTAAAAATGTATGCTAATTTGTTACTTTATGAAATAAGTAAAATGTTTTAAACTGATTTTATAAAACATCTCTGATAATTTTATTGCAATATTTTTATAACTAGTTGTTTCAATATATTATTATTTTGAAAATAGTCATTATTCAGGACATTTTCTCATAAACATAATTATAAATAAACGTAATGGTTTAAATAATTTATTTTAACTGTTTATCAACTGAATTTCTTTTTGACTCATGATGACAACAATAAAATTTTGTCTACATTATCCAGCTTTTGTGCCATGCACCAATTGAAATATATTAAGATATTATTGAAAAATCATTAAAAAATCACCATTAATTAAAATAAATTCAAATGTTAGCATACATCAGGTGTGAAATTATTAATGTAAAACAGTAAGTACATATATGAACTATGGCTTGAAATGTAAAAAATATGTAATATAAACCAAATGACTTACACATAATATAGCAGACAAAATTTGATAATTACATACATCAACTGGTGCAACCAATCAGTAAAATAGAATTAAATTTTATAGTAAATAAGATGTGAAATGTAAGTAAGCCTTCTTAGTAACATTTTTTTGTAATAAATTAAGAATATTGTTGCCAAATATTCTTAAATACCCTTAAACCTCTATTTAAAACACACACACACATTATGCATTTGTATTTGATAATTTAAGAAAGACTTACTTCTGATCACCAGTTTAGTTCCTCCACCAAAAGTGTACCACAGTGCTTCATTCTAGTGAAAGCGTCGTACAAAAACCTCCGTCACACTCAGATGAACACAAACTCCACGACACTCACACACACTGATATGAGACTCAACAGCAGCGGTGGATTATTGGACTAAAGTGATGAAAATCTCTGTATTGATACGTTTTCTTTACACATCTTAATTTGGATTTCTAAAAGATCATATATATTTCTCAAAGCAATTTTAATTCGTTTTGATGACCTTTGCCCTCTCATTGAGTTCACAGTGACATACTTGTTTCTCTGAATGGTTCAGCTCTGTCACTGAATCATGAGAAAACCTGCAGTCTGAACCATGAGACTCACACAGAATGAAAAAGACATGATTTCCAGATTTCTAAAGAAATGAAAACACACACCACTGTATCATGAGACTGAAACACGTTTAAAGGCTCAGTTTTCATCTGCATGTGGGCATTTTCATGTCTGTTTTCCTCCAGGAGGGTTTTTCCACAGAGAGTCACTTTGCATCAGCACATGCTTCAGCGCTCCGAGTGTTTATAGCGTTCAGACTCCAACACTTTATAACACACTGCTGTTTACCACGGTACAAAACCAACAAACACTATGAATCTCTTCAGCAGCTTCATCTGGATTCTGGCAGCTTTTATTCCAGGTAACAGAAGTGAAAGATGCTCATTTTTGACTCTTTAATGTTCATTTCATTTGATTGAACACATATAATGTTGTTGTCAGCAGCATCCAGAGGAATCACTGTGACTCAGCCTGAAGCTGTGACTGTTTCTGAAGGACAAGACGCCACTATAGAGTGTAAAACTGATCCTAAAATAAGTGGCTGGGGTTTAGCTTGGTATCAGCAGAAACCTGGAGAAACTCCTAAACTCATCATTTATCAGGTAAATGATCGCTATGGTGAGAGTTTCAGTCGATTCAGTGGGAATGGAGCACAAGGTGGAACTGATTTCACTCTGACCATCAGTGGAGTCCAGACTGAAGATGCTGGACATTATTACTGTCAGAGTTACCACAGTGGTGGTGTGTTCACACAGTGATAAAGAGTGGTACAAAAACCTCCGTCAGTCAGAGTCACAGTGACTGAACTCATTCTGCAGCTGCTCAGAGGAGCCTGTTGTTTTTGCTCTTTCTCCTCATATTCTGACTCTCTGTCGGGAGAAGAGTAATGCTGGAATCTGGACTGACTGAATCTGCACAGCTTTGAGGTTTTGATTTGATTCGTTGTGCTCTTATAGATCCGTCACATGATGGAGATTGAACCTCAACAGCTCTCTTACAAACACATGCAGCTGTTTTCAGTCACGGAGCTACAGCTGCTATAATGATTGATGAATGACAAAACTCTAGGCTACTTAAATTCAATACAGAAACCCACAGTTCAATAACATATTTCAAATCAGCAATAAAATCTGACATGAATGATACGTAAACCTTGTTTCATAGCTTTTCAAACTGTCTCTTTCAGGTCGGTTCAGCAAACGCTTCACATAAAGACCAGACAGTGGCTCTGCTGATTTATGAAACTAAAACCCTCATATTGTGGATCTAACAGTGATTTCACTCTGACCATCAGTGGAGTCCAGACTGAAGATGCTGCACATTATTACTGTCAGAGTTACCACAGTGGTGGTGTGTTCACACAGTGATAAAGAGTGGTACAAAAACCTCCGTCAGTCAGAGTCACAGTGACTGAACTGATGCTGCAGCTGCTCAAAGGAGGATCTGAAACTCTGTTGTTTTTGCTCTTTCTCCTCATATTCTGACTCTCTGTCGGGAGAAGAGTAATGCTGGAAACTGGACTGACTGAATCTGCACAGCTTTGAGGTTTTGGTTTGATTCGTTGTGCTCTTATAGATCTATCACATGATGGAGATTGAAGCTCAACAGCTCTCTTACAAACACATGCAGCTGTTTTCAGTCACGGAGCTACAGCTGCTATAATGATTGATGAATGACAAAAGTCTAGGCTACTTAAATTCAATACAGAAACTCACAGTTCAATAACATATTTCAAATCAGCCATAAAATCTGACATAAATGATACGTAAACCTTGTTTCATAGCTTTTCAAACTGTCTCTTTCAGGTCGGTTCAGCAAACGCTTCACATAAAGACCAGACAGTGGCTCTGCTGATTTATGAAACTAAAACCCTCATATTGTGTCCCAGTTTCTCCCATCGACTGTAAAACCAGCGATCGATCTCAGTTACTGTACACGACTGTTGAAACCTTTGAGATCAACCGTACACAAATGTAACATATGTACATTAAATTTCCATATATGAAGTATATTGTCATATGAAGTAAAAACATATATAAAACCAATATTAGAAATTGGAACAATTTCATGTATTAACATGAATATCCAGCCCATACAAATATGTGTTTATGTATGTGTAAAACATTGGACATGTTTGTATATCCATCCTATAACCCATCAATAAATGTTGATAATATATAAGTAATTATAAAAGATAGACATGTATTTAAAAGAATTATTACATGTGCTCTGTATGGAACATCAGCGCCTGTTTAAGTGATGAACTCCATTACTTGTGTTTGTTTTCAGACATGATAACAGACGTTTTATACTTGTGCTACAACTTTTTGGCCTGTGCTACAAAACTTTCAACCTCTGTAGCACCAGTGCTATGTGAAAAAAAAGTTAACGTACAGCCCTGACATACATTTTAATATGGGGATTTTATATCTACCCAGGGAAGTACAAATGTGAAAATTATATATCATCTTATAGGTAACATATATGGCAATATGTTTATATTTTTGTCACAAAAGAAGCATCTTGTTGACAAATGTTGGCAATGTTTAGAAGCTCATTTAAATGAAAGATCAGCTAATTTGCATATTGATCAGATGCTTCAGTGCTCTGAGCAATCCATCAACAGCAGCTGAAACTTTAGTGAAGGACTTTGAAGGAAGGACACACTGATCAATGATGCAGTCGAACACAAATGTAAGGCGTTCAGAAGCTTTATTGAATGAACAGCAATGGCAGCACATTGAAAGACTGCTTGAGTATTGAGCTGTAAATCAGGTGACTGCTGTGAATCCTGCTGCTCTTCACTGGAGAAACATCAGCACTCGGAGCTCTTGAGGAACGAGGTCTCGTGATCAGCTCCGTCATGTGTTACTCTGCAGACGAAGCGCTCGCCGTCTTCCCAGCGTGCTTTGCTGAGGCTCAGGACGCTGCTGCGGCTGTAGCGTCCGTCCCGCTCGCTCTCTGCGCTGGTCTGAACCCCCTCGGTGACCTCTGACCCGTCCAGCGTCCAGCTCACCTGCGCCCCCTGTGGAGAGTAAGAGCTGAGCAGGCAGAGCAGTGCGGCTGAGTCTCCAGAGATCTGCAGAGAAGAGGGAGGCAGCAGAGACACGGAGGGCTTCACTGCGGGACCAGCTGAAACACACACACACACACACACACACACAACAGAAGCAGAAATGAAAAACTGTAAAAAAAATTTAAGATGATTTGACTTTAAATTAATCATTTAAATTTAAATTGATCCCCAGAATGATTTTGAAAAACATTGTCCATTGATGATTATATTGTAATGTTGTTATAAGAATTAGAAAAAAATGTAAATGATCATTTCAATATTAATTGTATTTTGAAAATATTCTGCTATTCAGACACAATCATAAACATCAGCAAATGTGATAGTTTATGTAGTTTAAATGAATCATTTTTTACAAATGCTCTTAAATGCTCTTAATTTTTTTTTGTCTGGCATCCCAAACAAAATTATATTCATGTTGGATGTATTATCAAACTTTTGTGTCATGCATTTAAAAAAACCTTAATTTGTAAATTTACCAAGAATTATAGCAAAATTCTATCTCTCAAGAAATAATTAAATAGATTTTTGCAGTGAATTCATTAAAACACATTGAAATGTTAGTAAAAATAGGATGTTAAATTATTCATGTAAAATAAAAAATGACATTTAAAAGCTTTAGGAATTATAAAATTTACATAAATGATAAAAAAATATTTTTCAGAATTAGTAAGTTACAGAACATTTTAATCTCAAACTAATTTTTAAAAACATTTTCCACATGAAAATTGATTAATATTTTGTGATTTCTTCATAAGATTTAGAAAACAAATGCAAATAATAATTTCAATATTAAATGTATTTTAAAAAATATATTTTTATTTTGACATTTCCAATCAATTATAATTTTCCACCGTAAGTTTGAATTATGAATTTGTTTTTTTTTTAAATCTTCTGTTAAGACACTTACAATCATAATCATCAGCAAACTTAATAGTTTTATTAATTTATTTAAAAATGCTCATTAACTAAATTTCTGTTTGTCTGATGATAACGTCTACGCAATTATATTTGTTTTGTCTGTATTATCAAACTTGTGTCATGCATTTAAAAACCCTTAATTGTTAAAATTAAAAATTAATTTCAGACAAAATTATATATAAAGAAATAATTGAAAATATCTTATAATACTGCTGTCCATACATTAAAATACAATCAAATGTTACCAATAATAAGTTAAAGTGTTAATATAAAGAAGAAAATACATGTAAACACAATATGAAATATAAACACATTTTTATAATTAATTAAGTATCTTGTTGACAAATGTTTGCTGAAATCATCCAAAATATAATAAAATAAATGAATTAAAATATCATAAATTTTTATAATGGAATTAAAGAGACTTACTGATGGTCAGTTTAGTTCCTCCACCAAAAGTGTAGCACAGTGCTTCATTCTAGTGAAAGCGTCGTACAAAAACCTCCGTCGCACTCAGATGAACACAAACTCCAGCAGAGAGAGTTGTTGCAGAAGGCTGAAATCATTTGTTTCATAATCAGTCCCAAAATACTTTCCTCACATTTACACTAATTCTATTCACCTGCTTTATAATGAAATCTTGAGAAAGATTTAGATGCTGATTCCCTATCGGATGACCTTTGACCTGTTATACAGTATCATGGATGATATCAAATCTGCAGTACAGCTATTAAATGCTCTCAGCATAAAAGTCTGAATGAAACTGATCATTCAAATAATATGAAATAAATCATGAGTGTCTGTTTCTGAAAACAGTAAATAGATATTCATTAGCAAAGATACTAAATGTGTATCTGCTGTCTTCTGGTAAATGATCTGGAGAACTGATGCTGCAGCTGCTCAAACACTATCACTCACTACTGACACAGAAACAGATGATTTGAAAACACACAGATATAAAAAAAAATATTACACAAAGTGTTCTCTTCTATCACAGTCCACCAGAGCAAACACATCTGTAAAAAAAAACAGACCTGATTTTTATCTTATGGCATGGGCTATTTCAATGTCTTCTGATGGTCAGCAAACTATTGAACTATTTATTTCAGTTATCCATGATATTAACTGACTACAAAAAACGTATGATTCTCTATAGGGTTTGGTGAGAAACAAACTGAAATTTAACATATTATTTCACAAGTATCCTGATTTGACCGCGTGTGCACGACTGTGTGTTATGAAACCCAGCCGTTCACTCCGACTCACCAAAGAAAAGCACACAAGCTGTGAAAAATCAAGATGAATAAAAACATGATTATTAATTTGATTATTAATTAAAATCTGTCATGAAGATCAGAATGGCAGATGAATGAGATAACTTGTGACAAACACAACAGATATATTTACCTCAGAGAAAAAAGCACATGGATTGTATTTCATGTTGTGTTTTTATTAATCTTGAATAGAGTCTCATGAATGTGCAGTCGTGCACAGAGGCCACTGGTCAAGTCAAGATATTTGTTTTTATTCCCTCGAACACTTGGAGCATACAGTGTCACATGAGACTATTCTGTGATACTTTCACTTCTTTCTCACATTATACTGACATTATATGGACAAGTGTGCAGAATATATATATATATATAAAAAAAAAAATCTCTTGTACTGTCCGAAAAAGAAGTAAGGGCATACAGCATTAGAACAACACAAGGGTGAGGAAATGATTACTTCATTTTCATTTTTGGGTGAACTATCCCTTTAAGAGAAACAAAAGAAGCTTTTTATGAACCAAGTATTTATTTCAAAATATTCACAGTCAGAATGCATCAGTTTGTGCAATATAAACTGTTCAAAAATTATATTAGCAAAAAATATATATCGATAGAAAATATCAATAAGACTTTCCAGATTAGATTCAGCGCTATTTAATAAATCTGCATTGCATTAAAATGATTATTTGATTTACTTTCTGTCTGCGGGACCAGCTGAAACACACACACACACACACACACACACAACACTCAATTCTTCACATCTGCAGCTGCAATCTTCACTGTGAAAATCACAATCAGTTCATCATTTTACTGTAACTCCACATCACTGCTGTCATTCATATAACACAAATATCCTGAATGAAGATTACAATTATTCTCCATTAGAATAATTAATATTTACTATTCAGAAATGTTCTCTGTAAAAAAAATACAATAAAAAAGTTATTTTAATGATAGAAGACTGTAAAAATGCTACAGTGAAAACCTGTTAATCAGTTCACTGTAAGTTCTTTTACTATATACAGTGAAAAACTATAATAAATCTAACTGGACATTTCATGTAATTTTACAGTAAAATACTGTTAAATATTTGGAAGTGAAAAAGAAGAGGTCTGTCAAACACTGCTGTCATTTTTACTGTACATTTTACATATTTATTTTTTTACAGTGATCAAGTATAAGATCATGCATACTGTATTCATAAATATATCACTTTGAAGCAGACATAATGTACTGTAAAAATGTATGCTAATTTGTTACTTTATGAAATAAGTAAAATGTTTTAAACTGATTTTATAAAACATCTCTGATAATTTTATTGCAATATTTTTATAACTAGTTGTTTCAATATATTATTATTTTGAAAATAGTCATTATTCAGGACATTTTCTCATAAACATAATTATAAATAAACGTAATGGTTTAAATAATTTATTTTAACTGTTTATCAACTGAATTTCTTTTTGACTCATGATGACAACAATAAAATTGTGTCTACATTATCCAGCTTTTGTGCCATGCACCAAATGAAATATATTAAGATATTATTGAAAAATCATTAAAAAATCACCATTAATTAAAATAAATTGAAATGTTAGCATACATCAGGTGTGAAATTATTAATGTAAAACAGTAAGTACATATATGAACTATGGCTTGAAATGTAAAAAAATATGTAATATAAACCAAATGACTTACACATAATATAGCAGACAAAATTTGATAATTACATACATCAACTGGTGCAACCAATCAGTAAAATAGAATTAAATTTTATAGTAAATAAGATGTGAAATGTAAGTAAGCCTTCTTAGTAACATTTTTTTGTAATAAATTAAGAATATTGTTGCCAAATATTCTTAAATACCCTTAAACCTCTATTTAAAACACACACACACATTATGCATTTGTATTTGATAATTTAAGAAAGACTTACTTCTGATCACCAGTTTAGTTCCTCCACCAAAAGTGTACCACAGTGCTTCATTCTAGTGAAAGCGTGGTACAAAAACCTCCGTCACACTCAGATGAACACAAACTCACTCACACACACTGACACTGATATGAGACTCAACAGCAGCGGTGGATTATTGGACTAAAGTGATGAAAATCTCTGTATTGATACGTTTTCTTTACACATCTTAATTTGGATTTCTAAAAGATCATATATATTTCTCAAAGCAATTTTTATTCGTTTTGATGACCTTTGCCCTCTCATTGAGTTCACAGTGACATACTTGTTTCTCTGAATGGTTCAGCTCTGTCACTGAATCATGAGAAAACCTGCAGTCTGAACCATGAGACTCACACATTATCATTTGCATGTGTTTTTAAGACTTGTTAATTAAAAAATTCAAGCGATTAAAAAGCATTTGGGCGCGAAAGACAACTACATTCAGTACTCGCGCGCTGTGTTCTGTGTGAACAGTGCACGCACAGACAGCCGCGTGAGCCGCCTGAACGGGCAAAAACATACAAAAGTATGTCAAAATACCCGCCCTGGCAAGTAACTTTGTAGCTTTAACAATGATTAATCTATATTGAATTTATACACTGGAGTATGTTACAGATGCACTGATGTACCGGACATTTTTTGTTTTATTTCAGACTATCTTCTGTTCCGTGCTTGCACACAAACTGACTCTCCTGTCGCCATGTTGAGAGAAATCAGAATATGTTACTGTAGTTCTAAAATAATTATGAATATGCATTAATTCATCTCACTCTTTAATTCTATTAACCAATGTCTTTGCTTCTGACTTACGATGATCCAGTTCAACCGTACTAATAAGCAAAAAGTACTCTAGACAAACATTTGTGTGAGCAATGGCAGCACATTGAAAGACTGCTTGAGTATTGAGCTGTAAATCAGGTGACTGCTGTGAATCCTGCTGCTCTTCACTGGAGAAACATCAGCACTCGGAGCTCTTGAGGAACGAGGTCTCGTGATCAGCTCCGTCATGTGTTACTCTGCAGACGAAGCGCTCGCCGTCTTCCCAGCGTGCTTTGCTGAGGCTCAGGACGCTGCTGCGGCTGTAGCGTCCGTCCCGCTCGCTCTCTGCGCTGGTCTGAACCCCCTCGGTGACCTCTGACCCGTCCAGCGTCCAGCTCACCTGCGCCCCCTGTGGAGAGTAAGAGCTGAGCAGGCAGAGCAGTGCGGCTGAGTCTCCAGGGATCTGCAGAGAAGAGGGAGGCAGCAGAGACATGGAGGGCTTCACTGCGGGACCAGCTGAAACACACACACAACAGAAGCAGAAATGAAACACTGTCCCAATTTTGATCATTTGACTTTAAATTTATGTTACATTTGAAATAATTCTTCGAAATTTGAAAAACATTACTCAAGTAAATTGATGATTATATAGTGATGTCACTATATGACTTAGAAAAAAAATTAAATGAATATTTCAATATTAATTGTACTTAAATATTCTGCTATTCAGACACTCACAATCATAAACATCAGCAAATTTGATAGTTTCAAAAGTTTAAATGCTAAATTTTCAAAATGTTCAAATTCCTTGTTGCCTGATGATAAACCCTTTATTGGTACATTTGCCAAGAATTATAGACAAAATTATATATATATCAAGAAATAATTGAATAGATTTTAAATTACTGCCATCAATACATGTCATTATTCTTATAAAATGAAAAATGACTTAAAACAATATGAATTAAAAATTTTAAATAAGTGATTAAATAAATGAAAAAAATATACTAATTAGACATTTTCAGAATTACTAAGTTACAGAACATCTCATTTTTTCATCACAATCTAACAAAAAACATTGTCCACATGAAAATAAATTAATAATATTGTGATTTCATCACAAGATATAAAAAAACCTAATTGCAATAATTTCAATATTATTTGTATTTTAAAAATATTCTTCTATTTTGACACTCAAAATCAATTGTCATTTTCAGTACAATTTTACGTTTCTATTATGATGTTGCTGTTTTTTTTTAATGATCATCAGCAGCAGCAGCAAGCTTAATAGTTTAAATGACTGATTTTTAACATGCTTATTAACTACATTTCTCTTTGTGTGGTGATGATGCCTACACAATTATATTTAATCTGTATTATCAAACTTTTTTCATGCATCTAAAAACACTTAATTGTTAAATTTACTAGTAATTATAGAAATAATTGAATATATCATAAATGACTGAAAACGATATATTAAGATACAATAATGTTACAGATAATAAGTTAAATTATTCATGTAAAATGATAAATGAGATTTAAAAACAATATGAAATATTCAACTTAAGTAAATTATGAAATAAATGAAATATTGCAATTATTAAACTTTAAAAACATTTTTATTAAAGAATTGAAGAGACTTACCAATCGTCAGTTTAGTTCCTCCACCAAAAGTCCACCACAGTGCTTCATTCTAGTGAAAGCGTGGTACAAAAACCTCCGTCACACTCAGATGAACACAAACTCCACGACACTCACACACACTGATATGAGACTCAACAGCACTCATGGTTTCTTCTAAAACAACATAAAATTTCCTTTAAAAAACTAAACGTTGCATGAAGGCTGAAATAATGTTTTTCATAATAATTTCCAAAATGCATTCATCACATTTTCAAAACACATGTGATTTAAAGTAATTATATTTACCTGCTTTAATAATGACACTTTAGGAAGCTTCAGATGGTTATTCCCTATCAGATGACCTTTGACCTGTTATACAGTGAAATAGATGAACACAGGTATTAAATGCTCTGAGCATTAAAGTCTGAATGAAAATGATAATTAAACTTTGTTTGGAGAAAGAAGCTCGACCCAAAGTAACATGACATAAATCATGAGTGTTTCAGACCAAATAGAGATAAATAGAGATTTGGTAAATGGTAAATATAAATTTTTAGCAAAGATGGCAAAATGATGCATCTGCTGTCTTGAGGTAAATGATCTGGAGTGTGTTTGCATATTGATCAGATGCTTCAGTGCTCTGAGAGTGTTTATAGTGCTGTGAGTTTAACACTTCATCACTGACACACACAACAATCTTCATCAACATGACCTTCATCATCATCTTCATCTGGACTCTCACAGCGTTTGCTCAAGGTTTGTGCAGCACAAGTTTGATATCAGTTCATTTCTTCAAGTATATTGTCCAAGTTTTGAGTTTATGTTCTTCTTGTTGTGTGTTTCAGAGAGTAACCACAGTGAACCATATTGGGATCTTTTGATTGAAGCGCTGTGGAAGTTTTCATGTGCCGTATATTCCAAGTGTTTGGGGGGGAATACTATAGAGTTTGGTGAGAAACAAACTGAAATTTAACATATTATTTCACAAGTATCCTGATTTGACCGCGTGTGCACGACTGTGTGTTATGAAACCCAGCAGTTCACTCCGACTCACCAAAGAAAAGCACACAAGCTGTGAAAAATTAAGATTAATAAAAACGCGAAATAAAAAAAACAATGCCTAGAAATCCGCCAAAAGTTATCTGTGTAGCCTACACTTCTTCACTGAGTTGAATAAATCTGGACCAGCTGTCATGAAGATCAGAATGGCAGATGAATGAGATAACTTGTGACAAACACAACAGATATATTTACCTCAGAGAAAAAAGCACATGGATTGTATTTCATGTTGTGTTTTTATTAATCTTGAATAGAGTCTCATGAATGTGCAGTCGTGCACAGAGGCCACTGGTCAAGTCAAGATATTTGTTTTTATTCCCTCGAACACTTGGAGCATACAGTGTCACATGAGACTATTCTGTGATACTTTCACTTCTTTCTCACATTATACTGACATTATATGGACAAGTGTGCAGAATATATATATATATATATATAAAAAATCTCTTGTACGGTCCAAAAAAGAAGGACATACAGCATTAGAACAACACAAGGGTGAGGAAATGATTACTTAATTTTCATTTTTGGGTGAACTATCCCTTTAAGAGAAACAAAAGAAGCTTTTTATGAACCAAGTATTTATTTCAAAATATTCACAGTCAGAATGCATCAGTTTGTGCAATACAAACTGTTCAAAAATTATATTAGCAAAAAATATATATTGACAGAAAATATCAATAAGACTTTCTGGATTAGTATCAACGCTATTTAATAAATCTGCATTGCATTAAAATGATTATTTGATTTACTTTCTGCCAACATCCAAAGTGAATAGCAGTGAAACAAACTAATAGAGCAGCTGAACAAAACCCTCGAGCACTTCACTAAGTGCAAAAAACAAATCAATATTATCTAACAACATCAGTTTTGTTGAGCTTCATCATTTATTTTTTATTATGATTTTTCTGAAGTTATTTTTATCTCCTAATATTTTCAGCCCTTCATGTTGAAATTCAGTCCCTTTTGATCTTCAGTGGATATTTTTCCATCCATCAACATATTTTTGAGTTTCTGCGTTTATGATTTATCCTCAATCTTCCTTAAACTGCATCATCAGCATCATAAATGCTTGATCAATTTAATAAGTCCATTGATTTAAGTTCATGCCTCATAATGCAGATATTAACAGCATCATATAAACATGTTTCTCAATTTCAGAGCAAATGATAATGAATATAATTTATATAAACATTCATGCAGGAAAGAATGAACAATGATATAAACATTAATTTTCAGATGAAAGACCAGATTACCCAACAGTTGCAGTTAACCATTAAAAAAAATATACGCATATCACCATATTTACATTTATTTTATAAAGATTTATAAAGAGTGAAGGTGTTTTATATCATGTGTGACGCGACTCCTGATCAAACTCAGTGACTGACAGAGACACGTGTGTGATGATCCTCAAGCCTGCAGGATCATCCATGGATTTAATATAAAATTTGGGAATTAACAGTGGTTTTCATCCAAATACAGTAAAAAATCATCTCAAAGTCTAATATGAGAGTCAGGTTAATATACTAATGTTGGTCTTAAATTTATTCAATTGAATGATATGATGCAATTTATAACAGTTTGTCCATTAGAAGATCAATTATTATGAAAATGATTAATTTTTACTCTGTTTTCACTTCAGCAACTCTATTTTGTGTCTGTTAATGAGACTGTCTTCTGGTAAATGATGTGGAGTGTGTTTGCATATTGATCAGATGCTTCAGTGCTCTGAGAGTGTTTATAGTGCTGTGAGTTTAACACTTCATCACTGACACACACAACAATCTTCATCAACATGACCTTCATCATCATCTTCATCTGGACTCTCACAGCGTTTGCTCAAGGTTTGTGCAGCACAAGTTTGATATCAATTCATTTCTTCAAGGATATTGTCAAAGTTTTGAGTTGATTCAGTCAGGAACTCCATCTAGATTCAGTGGCAGTGGATCTAACAGTGATTTCACTCTGACCATCAGTGGAGTCCAGACTGAAGATGCTGCACATTATTACTGTCAGAGTTTTCACTGCAGAACAGATTCTGATGGTGATTGTGAGGGTGGTGATGTGTTCACACAGTGATAAAGAGTGGTACAAAAACCTCCGTCAGTCAGAGTCACAGTGACTGAACTGATGCTGCAGCTGCTCAAACACTATCACTCACTACTGACACACAGAGACCAAACACAGCAACTACACATGAGCTCCAAACTGAGTCAGGAGTCAAATCAGCTCTATTAGACTGGGATCTGTCCTGTGACAGACGGGTTTGACTCAACTATGCTCAGATTCAGAGAGTGTATAAACTAATATCAAATCAAATAGACAATAATAGCACCAGGTTTTTTTTTTTTTTTTGTACATTATAGTACACTCATATCTCATTTTAAAGTCATATAGTAAAGTCAGTGGAGTCCAGACTGAAGATGCTGCACATTATTACTGTCAGAGTTTTCACTGCAGAACAGATTCTGATGGTGATTGTGAGGGTGGTGATGTGTTCACACAGTGATAAAGAGTGGTACAAAAACCTCCGTCAGTCAGAGTCACAGTGACTGAACTGATGCTGCAGCTGCTCAAACACTATCACTCACTACTGACACACAGAGACCAAACACAGCAACTACACATGAGCTCCAAACTGAGTCAGGAGTCAAATCAGCTCTATTAGACTGGGATCTGTCCTGTGACAGACGGGTTTGACTCAACTATGCTCAGATTCAGAGAGTGTATAAACTAATATCAAATCAAATAGACAATAATAGCACCAGGTTTTTTTTTTTTTTTTGTAGATTATAGTACACTCATATCTCATTTTAAAGTCATATAGTAAAGTCATTGTGTAGCAGCATTGTGTTTTCATTCACAAAAATCATGATCTTTTATGTTCTTTGTTCCTATATTGTCTCTTGCTGCCCCCTGTTGGTCACTGACCCATCTGCACCACATATTCACCCTGCATTTAAATCAAACAAAAATGAAGACATTTGAAAAAAATATATTTTGTGTTTTGCACAAAAATGAAAATCATACATGTTTGAAATGGCATGAGGGTTAAGTAAATGATGACAATTTACATTTTTGGGTGGACTGTCTCTGTAAAGGTGCTATATACGATTTTTACACGTTCAGTTTTAATAAGTGTTTTCTCAGCATTTCACCATTGCATCAACTGATGACTGATGAACTGTGTACTGATGAACACATTAATTTTTATTTGAATTATCACTGGTTATTTTACCATGTATTGTGTCTTTGGAAGGCTTTTCTCTTTCAAACATGTTAAAATGCACAAATTCATGTTGTAATGCGAGGATTCCCAAACTTTTTTTGTCAGCAGAACTTCTTTCACCTAATATATATTTACTTAATATATGAATATGTTAATAATTAAGTATCACATTTGAATGTTCATGTTTCTCTGAAGTTGGTTAATGGTCACATGACATGCAGGTAAACAAATAAAATGGAATATATATATTTTTTTTTTTTTGCATTTTTATATCTATATGGTACAAGATTAACATTTAAATCAATGTGATAAACGAGTTAGGTCAAAAGTAATCTAAAAGTAGTCTGATTATATTACCTAAAATTTGTAATGTAATGGATTATGTTACTAAAATTTTTGTCATGTCATTTGGAATCAGTAACGGATTACAATTTGTAAGAATCTACCCAGCTCTGACATAGATATCTATGGTCATGACAACCAGAGTTGGGGTCCGGAGGTATTCAATTTAGTTAAAAATGACGTGATGTGTGGCGAAGTGTGGTGTCCTATACTCAGAATTTGTGCTCCGCATTTCACTCATCCAAGTGCACACACACAGCAGTGAGTAGTGAACACACACACACACACACATACACAGCAGTGAGTAGTGAGCACACACACACAGCAGCAGTGAGTAGTGAGCGCACACACACACAGCAGCAGTGAGTAGTGAGCGCACACACACACAGCAGCAGTGAGTAGTGAGCGCACACACACACAGCAGCAGTGAGTAGTGAGCGCACACACACACAGCAGCAGTGAGTAGTGAGCGCACACACACACAGCAGCAGTGAGTAGTGAGCGCACACACACACAGCAGCAGTGAGTAGTGAGCGCACACACACACAGCAGCAGTGAGTAGTGAGCGCACACACACACAGCAGCAGTGAGTAGTGAGCGCACACACACACAGCAGCAGTGAGTAGTGAGCGCACACACACACAGCAGCAGTGAGTAGTGAGCGCACACACACACAGCAGCAGTGAGTAGTGAGCGCACACACACACAGCAGCAGTGAGTAGTGAGCGCACACACACACAGCAGCAGTGAGTAGTGAGCGCACACACACACAGCAGCAGTGAGTAGTGAGCGCACACACACACAGCAGCAGTGAGTAGTGAGCGCACACACACACAGCAGCAGTGAGTAGTGAGCGCACACACACACAGCAGCAGTGAGTAGTGAGCGCACACACACACAGCAGCAGTGAGTAGTGAGCGCACACACACACAGCAGCAGTGAGTAGTGAGCGCACACACACACAGCAGCAGTGAGTAGTGAGCGCACACACACACAGCAGCAGTGAGTAGTGAGCGCACACACACACAGCAGCAGTGAGTAGTGAGCGCACACACACACAGCAGCAGTGAGTAGTGAGCGCACACACACACAGCAGCAGTGAGTAGTGAGCGCACACACACACAGCAGCAGTGAGTAGTGAGCGCACACACACACAGCAGCAGTGAGTAGTGAGCGCACACACACACAGCAGCAGTGAGTAGTGAGCGCACACACACACAGCAGCAGTGAGTAGTGAGCGCACACACACACAGCAGCAGTGAGTAGTGAGCGCACACACACACAGCAGCAGTGAGTAGTGAGCGCACACACACACAGCAGCAGTGAGTAGTGAGCGCACACACACACAGCAGCAGTGAGTAGTGAGCGCACACACACACAGCAGCAGTGAGTAGTGAGCGCACACACACACAGCAGCAGTGAGTAGTGAGCGCACACACACACAGCAGCAGTGAGTAGTGAGCGCACACACACACAGCAGCAGTGAGTAGTGAGCGCACACACACACAGCAGCAGTGAGTAGTGAGCGCACACACACACAGCAGCAGTGAGTAGTGAGCGCACACACACACAGCAGCAGTGAGTAGTGAGCGCACACACACACAGCAGCAGTGAGTAGTGAGCGCACACACACACAGCAGCAGTGAGTAGTGAGCGCACACACACACAGCAGCAGTGAGTAGTGAGCGCACACACACACAGCAGCAGTGAGTAGTGAGCGCACACACACACAGCAGCAGTGAGTAGTGAGCGCACACACACACAGCAGCAGTGAGTAGTGAGCGCACACACACACAGCAGCAGTGAGTAGTGAGCGCACACACACACAGCAGCAGTGAGTAGTGAGCGCACACACACACAGCAGCAGTGAGTAGTGAGCACACACACACACACACACACACACACAGCAGTGAGTAGTGAACAGTAGGTCGCAACTGTAACTTTATCGGAAAGAATAAGACTCATCTCAACCAATTTGTTACAAAAAGAAACAAAATAACATTTATTGAACATGCATCCAACCTAAACCCATTACACTTGGGGAATATTTGAACCGAGCCGGATGGACAGTTCGGGAACTGTGATGTCCAGCAACTAACAAGGGCTCTCTGAAAAATACTGATACTAAACAGGAAGTGTGTGTTCATGACAGGAAACAGAAAACTCCCCAAAGGTCCAAAGGGAAAGACTAAATCAATAGTGTGAAATAATCACTTACCTCTCGTTCTAAAGCACACATTGTGAGACTAAACGCATCATACACCATAACGATGATGATGATGTCATCTGCATGCCACAGATTCTCAGTTCATTTTCAGTGATTGGCAGCCAGTAGATGGATGAATGTCTTAATATATGTTTTAACGCTCGTTACAAAAATCGACATTCTGCTAGAACCCAAAGCTCGAGAAGCATCTTACAAACATTCTACTTATGTTAGAACGTATTACACTCGCATATATCGCATTCATTCTGCATATAGATCTTATAGGTGACAGATTCTAAAACACACACACACACGCCAACCTGCGCAAGTTTCCTCTTTCATGAATGATTATTAGTGATGTGTCATCAATAATGTTGCTATTTGAACATTCAATGACAAAATTACAGCATCATCATGTGCAGCAAACATCAGCCAGTGTTTCCGATTGAAAACAAGTGTCCGAACAGAACCTGCAGGACGGGCCGATTATTCTGTCTGGTAAGGAAAGACAGCAGAAAGAGTTTGAAGGACAGACAGAAAGACAGACGGTGAGAAAGAGGGTCAGGTGATTGGTGCGGGTCAGATTCTCCACAGCAAAGCTCCACTGATTAAAGTGCATGAACATACAGGAGGATTCGATTGGCCGTGAGGAAACTGCTGCGGCCCGCTCGAGTGTGTGTGTGTGTGTGTGTGTGTGTGTGTGTGTGTGTCCACAGCAAAGCTCCACAGATTAAAGTGCATGAACATACAGGAGAGGATTCGATTGGGCGTGAGGAAACCGCTGCGGTCCGCTCGAGTGTGTGTGTGTGTTCAGTAGTCCTCCACCCAGCCGTTCTCCTGGATGAAAGCATCGATCACCTCCTTCATGGCCAGATTGGGGATCAGCTGATCTTGGGTCAGCGGGCTGCGAGTGACTGGGTCAAAATGGCCAACACGCTACAGAGAGAGAGAGAGAAAGAATATTTTTGTTTTCTTCACTAAAGGCTAAAAAAATCCTTTGATATGTTCCATCCCTTTTTAAAAGATGGTGTAACTATGCCATCTGCCTGCAAAAAGCATCTTTCTCCATTAACAGCCATTTAAAAATATCTCGTTTTAACAAAAACTACAACTATAAAAAAAAAAAAAAAACTTTTTTGCTAACAAAAATAAAACTATACAATATCACTCACTATTAGAAAAAAAGATTAACTAGACAAAAAAAATAGAAATGCTGCCTTTGCAACTATGTACTTTAAATGACTAAAACTGAAATATAAATACAAAAAAATAGTAATAAAAAAGACCCTAAACAACAAAATTACTAAAACAAACTA